AAAATGATGGATTTTTATTCCGAATCGGTGTCCGAAATATCGTACTTTCTACTGCGTCTCTTAGCGGCTCTTCGGGTTTCCTGAATTTTCTTGAAGGAATTAAAATACTCGTCACATATCCCAAAAATACCCCAAAAGGTCAAAATAGGTGTTGCAAAATTTTTTCGGCCAATTTTAGGGTTCCAGCACGGTGGTAGCACCATGCTCCGGTGCCGGCTTTGTTGCCCACGGCAATGGTTAGTCTTGACCTGGCCGGTTTTGGCCGGTTTCACATGCAAACCTGCGAAAAAACGAGTTAGGAGGCCTCGGTTGGCGGAAAAAGGCAAAAAACCGAAACCCCACCGGCGGAAAGTCTCCAGGTGCGGTAACTCCATTGGTCCTCTTTCGCGGTTGAAGTTCTCATTTGACTAACTTGCATCAGAAAAGGATGGTGAATACGGTGGTAAAAAAATTACGTGAAACGGGAAGGAGCTCATCGAAGAGGATTTTGAGTTTTGGCCGCGGTAGCTCGGCTGAGTTTTGTTTGCGGTTTCCGGCTCACTCGTCGACCTTTTTACTCTGATATGGCCACAGGGAGACTTGGAATTGAATTCCGAGCGGAAAGAAAAAATTTTTACCTTTTTCGATGGTCGGCGGTGGCTTCGTTGCGACAGCGGCGGCGTCCCTCCGGTAGCTGGTCTTCCCTTCGACCGCCTTCTTCTTCTTCTTCTTCTTCTCTGGCTGGGTGTCGGATAGGGTTTTGGTTCCCTGCGAAGAGAAGTTTAAATACTTCTCCCCATTCGATTCAGGCCGTTCGTTCGAGTCGACGTGGAGCGAGGAGGATTGTTTGATGATTTCCCATTTAGGCTGATGGCGTGGACAAATCTGGACCGTCTATCGCGATCAATCTCGCCCGTCCGATCGTGTCTAAAGAGAAAAATACATCTGGGCCCTTTGTGCGCGCGGGATGCTATCTGAGCCATTAGATCGTCCAGGCACACTGATCGCCAGTGTAGCCTCCCGCGTGGAACCGATGTTAGCGTGCTCGCCACGCGGCGTGTCCTGCTTCGTCGTGGCTGTTGACTAGGCCGTTTGACGTTGCCAAACTTTTCTTTTTTGCGATTTTACCCCATGTTTTCAAATTGTTTTTCAAAAACATCCCCCGTATTCACACTTTCGCTCGTTTTTCTCAGAATTGTTTTCAATTTCGTCTCCAATTCATTTTTTTCTAAAAAATTTAATAAAATTAAATTAAAATGAATTTTTATTATTTATATATATTTTTATAAATAAAAAAAAATTATCCTGGGTCAAATTTCCGGTCCGGGTGTTACATCTTCATACAGGAGCAAACCAATATTCCCAATGCTACTGGAGATTGCTTGATATTATCCTTAGGCTCTATGTCATTGGATGAGAAAGTTGCCGAGAATATAGATTCGAGGACGAATCCTCTCGAAGAAGGGGGAGATGATGAGAAAATCACTAAAGAGAAGATTTGCGAAAAATCCTCTCGAAGAAGGAGGTCCATGAGGTCTTGTAGGGAAGAAAAGACTGAGCAAAGATGAGTTTCTTGGGAAAATTCGTAAACATTCATGAACAAAAACTAGGTCTAACCCAATATAAGTTTCATACTGCAAATTAGAGTTGGATACACCGGGAACTCAGTTCAAGAAAAGGTGGCATCAGAAGAGATGGAAAAATAGGAAGTTGTTGGGCCTAACGACAAAAAAAAATACTCAGTTCATGAATTTCGGTGTAAGGAGAAGTCCAAAAGATGGTATGGGTGTGAATTCCCGTAGCCTATACATGTGTAGGCCTCCGCCCGTGCAACACGTGGTTCCTGCACATTCTTGTACCCAACCCGCACGGTCCAACATCGTGGACATATGAGCAGCAGCGGCCACACGCACCTCAGCACACACACAAGTGCGTAAGACGCTGGCCACACGCACAGCCTATGGGCGTGCGTGGACAAGTCGTCCCGCTCGCCCTGTGCACGCTGGAATATGTGCAGCATGCGATTTGCACCGCTCTTGTGCGCAAAAGATGGGTCGCATGCCTAGCCACCTGTACGTGCGCGATCGAAGCACGGACAGCAGGCCCGCATGGCCTGCAAGGCCCACCCGCAAGGCCCACAACCTGACCCTCATGCGATCAGGCCCGCTCGTGCGGCTCCTTCTTCCTAGTCCTTTTTGGACTCAAAAACTCTACTTTTCCTATTTCTACAAGGTGTCCAAGTTTTCCAATTATCCCATGTGCAAAATATACCAAATTTAAAAGTGGAATTCTAGTCAAAATTGAAGAAAAGATATCTTTGAAGACTTAGGAGAAAGGAACTATTATTTAAATATAAATACTTATCCCTAAGATGATTTAATTAATTAAATTAAGATAAGGATAAGAAATTTATTATTTAAGTAATTATGTATTTATTTTCTAATTAGATTAAAACCTGGAGTTTGGATAGTAATCCTAAATCCTATTCCAACTAAAAGTAGTAATCAGGAGCCCATATAAAGACCCTAACTCAAGCATTATAACACACATCTTGAGAATTAATAAAAGTTAAACTTTGAGCTTTGTTAGCCCAGCGCTAATTCTTCTCTTCAAGTCCTTCCAAGGTAGATGAGCTTGTCGAAATCTTGATTGAGCCGAGGAGTTGAGATCGATTTATTGGGTAAGTTTGTGGCGTCTTTCTTTTTTTCGTTTTTGCTTTTCTAGTTTTTGTTTTTGCATTCATAATTTTAGGATTGTATATTCAATTAGAGGAAAGGGTTTTAATTCGGTGGTTTGAGTTTTGATATTGCATGCGATTAGGTTGAGATTCCGGGAGTCAAAATGATCTTTCCCATAACCTCCCACATCACAAAGTCTCTTGTATTTGCTTTCTCCATGTGGGACGCCAGAATTGGATGTGTATTGACAATAGACAAATTGATGAGAAGGGAAAAAGGTTATAGTGAAATGGATCTTTTCTATATAAAAAGGGATGTCGAGACTTATATCAATTACTTGAACATAAAGTTTGTAGAGTAAGCGTTTTAACCACATTTCTTCGTACACCTTGTTGGCCATAGCTCTGAACTCTACTTTTGCACTATTTTGAGTAACCACTATCTACTGTTTACTTCACTAAGTAATCAGATTTCCCACACATAAGTAAAGTATGCTAAAGTCGATCCTCTATCAATAGTGGCTCCTGCCCCAATTTGCATCAATTAACACTTCGATATTCTTGTTTTAAGTCTTCTTGAAGCAGAAACCTTCTCTAGGAATTCTCTTCAAATAACTTAGAATATGATATTGTCAATTAATTTGTTCTTCAATAGGATTATTCAGAACTAATTAGTCACATTAACAGTAAGCCAATACCTCGTCGTGTATTTGAGATGTAGACGATTTTTTCAACTAACCTTTAGTATCTTCCTTGTCAAATAGAACATTGTTTCCTTCTCCCTTTCCTTTGATGATTGCTTGCATTGGAGTATCTGCAGGTTTACAATCCAAAATTCTTGTTTCTTTTAGTAAATTAAGGACATGCTTTCTTTTTGAAACTACAATTCTTGATTGAGACCTTATAGTTCCCATCCCGAGGAAGTATTTTAGATTTCATAGGTTTTTTTACTTTGAATTCATGACTTAGAACTTTTTAAGTTCTATAGTCTCATCTTCATGATTACTTATCAAGATAATATCAACTACATAGACAATTGTGATATATATGATTCCACCAAGAAAATGTTTAACAAATAATGCATAATCTGATTTACATTGAATATATTTAAATTTCTTTATAACCTTGATAATCTCTAAAACCAGACTTTGGGCTACTACTTGAGGTTAAAGAGAGATTTTTTCAGCTTACAAACCTTGTTTGACTTAGTATAATCTTTGAGGCCTCCATGGATCTCCATATACGCTTCTTATTTTAGGTCTCCTTTGAGAATGACATTTTTTATGTATAAATAATGAAGCTTCCAATTAGAATTTGCTGCCAATGACAAAAGAACTTGAATAGCATTAAGTTTTATAACAAAAAGGTCTTCTAGTAATCAATATCATAGATTTGAGTAAATCTCTTAACAATCAAACGAGTCTTGAATCTACTTGTGGTACCATTTGCATTGTGTTTAACAGTGAAGATCCACTTGCATCTCACAGTTTTTTTCCAGAGGTTGTTCAACAAGTTCGCATGTACCATTTTTCTCAATTGCCCTGAGTCCTTTGACAACAGCTTGTTTCTCCTTATGATCTTGCATGATTCAAATATTGTTTTGTGCTGCGGGAGTGCTCTCATCAAGAGTGCTACTTTTTAGCTGAAGATTGGCTAAATACTTTTAGGAAAGATGCTGAATATGTGCTATTTGATTGATGGATTTTTCTCTTTCTTCTTCTTTGGAGAAATGTTGAGAGAGAGAGAGAGGAAGATGGAGAAAAGAGGCAACAAGTTGCAAATTGCGACATCTAGAGGGGCTGGAAGCATACTTAGTAGTCAATCATGACAATAACACTTGGTTGGAATTCAAATTTTCCTTTTGTAATGAAAACTTCATGTGCATAATGAAAGACTAGCTGATTAAGGGCTAGTCATTTTGCTCTTCTTTTTCTTGCACTAGTTTGTGAGGTGGCCAATAATTTCCATTCCTTTTGTACTAAATTTTGCCAAATATGAAAACATTTCTGTAAATATATCATGTTAGGGTTATAGCTTATATTTTAGGGGGTCTTCTTTTTCGATATTGGGTGGGGTTGGGGGCTATTGTTGCATTAAATTGATTAACAAAAAAGGATGATTGGAACCTGTGGAGTAAAATTGTTTCTAATGCTGTGGGGTTAAAATACATCTTTTGTGGGCCTTCTTAAATTCCTTTATGCTTCTCTTCTCCTTTTTCTCTGTCCCTTTTTGCATTTACAGTACACCTGAGATTCAGTGTATCCGGTCCATTTGTTGCCTGTGCCATTGTTGAAGCCTAGTTGTGGTTGTTCCCTTTAAGTAATGGTTTTCTATTTTCTTATAGGTCATCCTTTTCAATGAAGCCAATTGAAAATGGTGAAATTGACTTGGAAGGTGGTAAATCAGGGAAAGACACGGATAAGTCAGTACGTAGTAACAGAGTTAAAATACACAATCAGGCCTTATTATCAGGCCTTGCATACTGCATTTCCTCATGCAGCATGATTCTGGTCAACAAGTTTGTGCTCTCCAGCTATGATTTTAATGCTGGGATATCTTTGATGTTATACCAGGTAAAATGATAAAATATTTTTTTTTTTCAGTTTGTCATTAGAACAGTAGCAATGTTCTTTTATCTAATTTACCAATGTACTTAAACGGTTTCTAGATATACTCATGGCAGTTCTTTTGGTGCAGAATTTCATTTCAGTGATTATTGTGTCTATATTGAGCACGACGGGCATAATATCAACAGAACCACTAACATGGAGATTAATAAAGGTGTGGTTTCCTGTCAACATGATATTTGTTGGCATGCTTGTTACCAGCATGTTCAGGTATTACTTATTTCCACTTTATGGTGATCTTGGTATTTTTTTGTGCTGACTTCATCATATGCTAGATATCTTTCTTGAAATAAAGTTGAAGACGTTTTTGCTGGTTGTTTTGCAATGTTTTCCTATTAAAATGGCATCTATTTTATCTTTTTCTGGCATACTGTCTCAGTTTAACTTTCAGTTAAAATCATGTTTGTACATTTATTTTACATTTTATAAACAGCTTGATTGAATGTCAAAGAACTGCTTAATTTTGTTTGACCCAGCTTTCACAGACTTGCTTTGCTGTAAGACCTACGTTTGGGATGGCTAGAAAAATAATAACCCTTTCTAAATTTTTTAGAGGACACAAAAATTGCTCCTTTAATGATTACCAACTAGCTTACCAACTTTAACGTGTAAAATTTGATGGTTGAGCTGCATAGATAATCAATGAATATGATGGTCCAGAACACATCTTACATGGGAGGCACCTGCTGGTAACTGCTTATTATGTGTTCAAGTTGTGTTCATATGACCCGTAGTACGTGCCAGTGACATAACGCATGCTTGGTCCTCGAAATGTTTTTTAATTAGATATTGTATTTTCCACAGCCTGAGATACATCAATGTCGCTATGGTCACAGTTCTGAAGAATGTCACTAATGTGATAACTGCAGTGGGTGAAATGTATCTGTTCAACAAGCATCATGATAGTAGAGTGTGGGCTGCTCTGTTCTTAATGGTATAATCATCACTCAAAATTATTTGTGGTTAAATTATTCTGAATAGGAATGGAAGTAATATAGTGAACCTCATGTAGTTGTTGAGGTTATATGGTTCATTGCTTGTGTTGGATCTCTTCATTACTTTTATTTGGATTTTCATTTCCAACCCTTCTCTCTTATCACTTGAGATTAAAAAAAACCGAAATGGTGATGTTTCAATTATGCTGGCTTGAGGTAAAAAGTCCGAACAAAAAAGAAAAAGTACTTCTATACCGAGAAATTCTGCTATAATTTGTTATAACAAATCTTCCATTGCTGGAGCATAAATGTATTGCAGTGTTTTCACTTGTTTGAGAAAACTTGGTTTCTCTCTGCTATGCTACAACTATATTATCTAAACTTTAAATTTTACGTGGGTTCTGAATTTATTCTCTCAAAGAACCAATTTCACTCTATAGTGAAGAAGCATGTGATCTTTTATAGTTGATTTCAACATAATTCACTGGTCCTTTTTCTTGGTTGAAAAAGGAAGTTTATGTTTGGGTTAATCTTTTTATTTTTTTGTGTCCACTTCATGGATTTTGAGGTGCATTTTACAACTTGTTCGTGTCTTATTGATCATAATGGTATACTGTAAAATTGTGCTAGAATAAAACTGATTTGTACTAGTGACAAGTTATGTTTTCCATTTGCAGATCATTTCAGCAATTTCTGGAGGAATTACAGATCTATCTTTTCATGCTGTTGGCTATGCATGGCAGATCATTAACTGTTTCTTAACTGCATCATATTCTGTGAGTCTGTTTGAGGTTTTATTTTGTTGTACATTTCTGTAATTTTATTGCCTTATTTTTCCTTCTAAAATTCATAAATTGTTTATGGTTGCTTTGCTGGAGGTTGTTATCAAACTAGATATATTTTTTATTTGATCCTTTAAACAAAAACATTTTAGCTTTAGCAACTTGGCTTAAGAAGTTAGACGAGGCACCATTCTAGTAATTCGAAGGGCATGCATTTATTCATGAGTTTATCCTTAAGAACTATCAGAGCATATTCTGCATCCTAGTTCAGGTATTGATGAATCACGTAAGTTATGGTACTTCATTTCATTAAGATGATAACCATACTTCATTAGATAATCAATATCCTCTTTGCGTCAGAAATGGCTTAAGGAAAATCAATGTGTGAAAACTTTGGATAACCTTTTCAAAACCGCCGTTCCACGGGGAGGACAGACTTAATATGGTATGTCTAACTTTCAGATCATGATGGAAAGGTGGATGCTTGTTCTGTGACATGGTTGACAAAGTTTCATTTTCTTTTAATCATTGTCTTCTGGGAGTAACTATTCTTTAAAGCCTCATATTACTTGTTAAAGACAAGGTTAGGCAGTTAATGTGCTATATTCGAATGTTTAAGCTAAATTTCGTTGGCAAGATATTGCAAAATCAAAAGAGAAACACGAGTTCCTCAAAAAGAAATAAGAACAATAACATGTGCAGGATTGAGTTCAGATATGTTAATTTTAGTCTTTTGTCTTTCACCTCATTTAGAGGTTGCTTGGACTTCATTCTTAGCGAGGAGTTTGATATGCATATTGGGTATCATCTTCAGCCAAAAATTTAAACTGGTAGAAAGCAGGCTTTTAATTATATTTTTACATGCTCTCTCATGTGCAAATAGAATTTTATAGGAGGCTTTCCACATAAAATCAATAAATCAAGCCATTTCCTTTAATTCATATATTGAAGAAAAATAGCCAAGAAAGTTGCTCTGAGAAAAAATAGAATCCTCACAAACCTATGTAGGTGCTCACTAAATCCTGGTGGGGTTTTTCTTCTAAAGAAAGAAAACAAGGTCCTTGTAGATTTGCCATACAGCTCACTCATTAATGCCAATCTCTATCTGTTTAAATTCACAGCTGATGCCTCGATTTTCAAGAGTTTGGTACACACGTTAGTAACAACTTTTGGTAGTTCCCAATTCACATATTCTTTTAGTTGTAACCTGATTCCAGAAACTTTTCTTCTTTTGTTCTTTTTGAGAAAAATTCGTAAAATTTTGTATGTTTTACTTTGTGTCATCATAAACTTTCTAATTATTAATGGTATGTCATTTACTTTTTGAAATAGGGCTGACAAATTTCTAATTTATTTTGTTTTATTTGTGCAGCTGACTCTACGCAGGGTCATGGACACTGCAAAGCAAGTTACAAAATCTGGAAACTTAAATGAATTTTCCATGGTCCTACTAAATAACACTCTTTCAATACCTCTGGGGATTCTTCTTGTTTTCATTTTTAATGAGGTTGATTATCTTTCCAGAACGTGAGTTTTTTCTTTTCACCCCTTCTCCATCTTTTTTTTTTCCTTTTATTTTATGACCTTAAGTTTCTAGTAGTCACAATGATTAATCTTTATTGCTTACTTAGAAGGGTTTTCATCTCTGCATTACACGTAGCTGGTTATTCAATCATTTTGATCATTATGATTTTCCCTGCATTCTTTTCTTTTCTTTAAATTTCACTGTCTACCATGTTCCCCTTCCTCGATTACTCTATTCTTCTCCTTCCAAACCCTACTCCATCACTTAGAAGTTAAAATTCAAGTAGAAGCATTTCAGAAAGTTTTTTGTTATCGCAATTATTATAAGTGAGTGTCTACAAAATTTACAGAAGCATTCTCTGGAAGGTTCATACTTTGAAACCTACTAGAAGATATGCTAACTTTCAAGTTAACCAGTGTCATAATATCTAGATTCCACTGAAGATGAGCATTTCTATTCTAGGGCAGACTGAGTTGACATGCTTTGTTATCAATTAGTTGAGTTTCTGTTCCTCACAATTTATTCTTGAATCTAATGAACATGTTTCGATTTGGCAGGCCACTTTTGAAGTTGCCTATGTTCTGGTTGGTAATGACCTTAAGTGGATTTTTGGGTCTTGCTATCAGCTTCACTTCAATGTGGTTTCTTCATCAAACAGGAGCTACCACATATAGGTAAGAAAATGGTCAGAGTACTGAACTCAAGAAACTTCACATAGTTGCAGTGTCCGTTATTCCAATGTTGACTTTGTTCATATAAAGAAAAATCTTATCTCAGCTTGACTTAATAGATGTGGATGAGGAGTTAAAAGTTAAATTTATTGTCGGCTTATCCCCCAATGATGCATTTGACAATGAATTTGTTGGGTATATTACGCAATTATGGAGCTACTATGCTTATTAAAACGAGACGATAAATTAGTGATCCAACTATTTTTAACTGAATATCTCACTAATTTTCAATCTACAGTCTTGTGGGATCACTGAATAAGATACCTCTTTCTGTCGCTGGCATTGTTCTTTTCCATGTACCTACGAGTTTGGAGAACTCTGCGAGTATCTTCTTTGGTAAGTACTGTTCCATGAACTAACTCAAGACACTGGTATGAGCATGTGCCTTACTGCACTTAACTTTAAATTGCGGTTCTCTTTGTGTCTTTCTTTTAGGTCTCTTGGCTGGGGTATTTTTTGCTAGAGCCAAAATCCGGGAGAAATCTCAATCATGACAGGTTGTATCTCCCTACTATGTACACGGGTTATAATTTTTTGTTCACGTTCTGTGTAATTGTGATCGAACTAAAAGCAACCACACCCTTTCATCAATACGGGAATGAATCCAAGTGGATTTGATTGAAGAGAGAATAGAGTCATGGAAGCTTTCCTGCAGTAGTTTTTCGTTGTTATTTCGACAAATGTTTCCCTTAGCAGATGGGTGTCTTACAGGATGCAAAACAGCATTTACTTTTTTGTTGTATTAAAGAATGGGCGCTGCCGAAATTTCCCATTTAAAATTGTATTTTGATATAT